CATTAACACACGCACACGTGTGCATACGCACACACGTGTATATATAAAACACACACCACGGGATATATTTATAAGGCGCACCTACAGAATATGAAAGTCGCGTGTACAACTTCGACACACACGCATCTTGCGTCGTTATGGAGCATTCTGGGTAAAAGTAAATAATCCGTAAGCAGAACTTGTATCTGTCTCCACATATAAGTGTAATCGTTTTGGAATATACATATATAGTCCATGGGCCTATTGGCTTTCCAAACCAAATATGATCCTATTCAGCCGAATTTGAATAAGCAAGCAAACTCTCGTCCGGTTTCGACACGCTGGTACTCTTCGGCATGTTATTCCTGTTAAACAAATGATGATGGGTTACCAGACGTTATTGGAAAGAGCGCTTCATCTAAACTACGGGGCACTGTTGAACCCAGAGCAGTATTGTCTAGAGAACTTGTACACCGTTGTAAAAGTTAATTTATCCCGTTCAACGTTGACATGACTGGCTCATGTGTGCGCTGAGAGGTTTTCCCGATGAAGTCTATCCGAATTAAATTTGTGCTATATTAATTAGTACGAATATAGGCTGCTGGCTCGTATATATATTTATTTTTGACGGATCTATTACCAATTAACAGATGTGTGATCTTGCGGCGCACTCTGTGTGTGTCATTCACATGAAGATTTTTAAAACCATGCACAGTGGCACACATGTACAGTATTATCAAATACTCGATGCATATTATGTTCGTGTGTGTGTATATATAAATAAAGGGGTGGAGCGGTGGCGCGGTGGTTAGCGCACGGCGTCAAGAGTGCAATTCCCGACCACAGCTGACATCAGTGGCGAGTGATATTTGAATCAGTCCAGGATCCCCACCTGCCTTTAACAACCCACTCTGACCTGACCAACTTGAAGCATTGCCAAATATCCGCCGTTTACAGCCCTTTGTCAATATAAAATCGGATTTGACAAAAGGCTGTAAATGTATTATAACCATTATCAGCCATGCTCTGTTCACTGCTGGGGCGAAGGCTTTCCCAAGCCGTCGCCACATCTCACGACGCTCCGACGACGCAGTAAATAACAATAATTGTTTACATAAATATACACGACGAGACGACAGTCACAGACAAACCAGATGTCTCTCCAAATTAGCAAGTTTCTTTATTTATATCAATAAACGACTCAGGTTGGAGCGTAAAACAGCGCTGAAGCGCTTTTGCACCACTCGCTGAACAAGACGTGGCCGCGTGTGTCCGTCACACACACAGTGTGGGGAGCGGTGGTGCAGCGGTTAGCGCTATGCTGCGCTACGAACCCGGCGACTCGAGTTCGATTCCCGCTCACGGGCAACACCGGTGACGATTATTTGAACCGGTCCTGAGCCTCCCCTAGGTCGACTCAGCCTCAAACGAGTAACTGGTGCGGTGTGTGAAGTTCGCCACTTGGGAGACAAAGGCGGCCAGGCGTGGTGCTGGCCACCCACCCCATCGCGTGCCGTGCCGGCCTTCGTAGGTGGCCGCTACCAGCACTTGCACCAAAAGTCTGCCAAGGCTATACGCGGGATCTTTGTCTTTTTCAACGGTTTTATTTATTCAACGATTTATTTTTATTTAAGTTGATTCCTCTGTTTGTCTGTTGTGGTGAAATCTTGTAATCAAAATTTCGTCCACCTTCCCGTTGTCCAATCGATCTCAAATTGTGCACACGTACTCAGATCCGGAGACAATGTATGTCTGTATCAAAATCGTCATCAATTAATCAATTAATTGGCTCGTTTAAATCAATTCATATTGTATGAAAGCCTTATTGGACGAGTGGTTTGCGAACAGGTTTTGTGAGGAAAAAAAAAATGTCATACCAACGTAGGAGTCGAGAGTTCGAAACTCGCCCGGAACATATTTTTATTATTATATATTTTTGTAGTAACATTGTCATGCGCTCTCCACCACGGGGCTGATTTACAGTCGGACAGCTGGACGAGGGCGGTGTGGCGTTTCGTAAAGCGGTGGAGGATTTCTGCGAAGCGGAAAGACGGGTTTCCTCTTCCTTGGGTTCATTCACAAGCGATTTCCAGCCGTGCAGCCGATACGTCCCCTTGGCACGGAATCGCTGAGAGCAGAGCAGCGCTTGTGCGTGTGTGGCCCCTCTAGGCGCGTTCCATGTGCACACAGACACAGGCTGGCGTGATTCATGGATGGTAGGAAAGCTGTACGGATACTCTAGCAGCGAGCTCTCTGTCTGTCATAGCCTAAGCCCGATGAGCAGATGCTTGCATGCATGAGATGGCGGGGATGATGACGGGGGGGTGGACGGGGTCGATTCTCTTTATCACCTGTGTCGCGGTGTGGAGGCAGGTGTTTTTGTGTGTCCGTTTGTATATCTCCGTGTTATTTTGCGTGTGTGTGCATCTGTTTGTTTTGTGCGTGTGAGGAATCTGTGCGTGGTTGTATTATGTGCTTCTCATGTGTGTGTGCCCTACATCTGTGGGGAGCGGTGGGGCAGCGGTTAGTGTGCTGCGCTACGAACCCGGCCACCCGAGTTGGATTCCCTCTCATGGCCAATACCAGTGACAATTATCTGAACAGTTCCTGGGTCTCTCCTAGGTGGACTCAGCCCCAAATTAGTACCTGGTGCGGTGTGTCAAACATTTCCACTTGGGAGATAAAGGCGGCCGGGCGTGGTGCTGGCCACACACCCCCTCGTGTGCCCTGCCAGCCTTCATAGGTACTCGCTAGCAGCACTTTCCCCAACAGTCTGTTCAGGTTATACAGGGGGTCTTTGTATATATGTCTGAGCACGTGTGTGTGTATGTATCCCCGTTTCGTCCGTTTGCATGTACGTATCCGCGCGTCCATGTGTATGCTTCCGTGCGAGTGTCTGTATACGTGTGCGCGTGTGTCCGTATGTCCGTGTGTATGTGTGCGTGTGTCTATCCCGTGTCTGGCCTTACGCGGGGGGGGGGGGGGCTGCGTGCAGATTGAGCTGAGCGCAGCGCGGCGCACACGCGCGGAGTCGTCGCCTCGTATTGATGTCGCGCGCGCGCGCGAGAGAGGGAGAGGAAATGCGAGCGCGCGACAGCCACCCACGCGACTCGCTCCCTCGCTCGGTTACTTTAAACCGGGACGCGAATTCCTGAGCCGAGCCCTCGCTCCAGTTCCTCCTCTACCGCGAGACGGGGGCAACCTTCACAACCCTCCCCGGGTTGTCCCGGCTCTCCCTATGCGGCACCGCGGGGGTCTGACAACCAGGCCGTGTGACCGCTCGCGCTCAACGGAGCAGAGGCGACCGCGGGGCCGGCGTGTCGCGTAATTACGCAGCGCCAACAGATATACGGCGACGTGTTCTAAAGACCGTCTTCAGGTTTTGTGAGAATGCGGTAACTCGGTTGCGTTGTCCATGGTTCACACAAACACACACGCGCGTGCATCATCAGGAAGGAATGGTAGGGGAACTCATTAAATTCGTACGCACAATCACGCGACCGGTTATACGCGTAAACCATTTTTTTTCTTATTCGGCTGAATGTATTTCCGCTAAATTTATCGCTGATATTAAACGACATTTGTCATTCCGGAAAATAAGCTCGCCTTTCAGACGCCCCGCCGGCGTTTTCGTATATCGGTGCCATTACAGATGCCTCGAGTTTAAAAATAACCCGCCCCCCCCCCCCTGATTTATGAACAATGTACAGAGCTCGGCGATTGTAGACGGCACGGAGCTCTCCTCGAGTTGCCCGCGTCTCACCCGCGAAACGCGGCTTTCCGTTACTGACATATTATACAAGTCTTAATTTAGACATTTTATTTGCAATATATAATCCAAGGTGCAAATAAGGTGCAAACACGTGTAGAGGTGTTTAAATATATTGAAATAAATACGGGCATAACTTCGACTGTCGCTCACGCTTGGTCGGTGCTTTTTGGGAAATATTCTGACGATTAAAACCGTGACATTTCAAATGCAGTCTCATAAATTGGGGTACAGCATACGTTTTTTTGTTTACACATGAACAATTTTCAACACTTACCAACATTTATTCGATGCAATAAATTGAAGAGCTATGAACGATATTTTTAGCCACGTGAAATATCTGGAAAGCCTGCATGGCGTGAAATGTGAGTGAGCGGTGGTGAGACGAATGGACACGTGCAGGAGTGGTTACACGGGAAGTCGTTGAGCATAAGGCAGGAGACAGATCGTTGCAACATCCAACAGCCAGACCCACGCTTTGGGTGCCTTGGAACGGGTGTGCAGTAACGGGCACATCTCCCATGTCCAATACCACTGTGTGTGTATGTATGTATGCGTGTAGAATGTACACATATACACATTTGAAGGCAAACACATTTGAAGGCAGACTCCAGTGGAGGTAAACACTGTTAGCGGAGCATCTGTTGAGAATATCAAAGGACCGTGAGAGGTGGCGATGGCCACCTCTCATCCGTGGATTGGATCATGGCTGATGATGGTCGACCATGATGGTGATGCGGATGACTGAGGCCAGTACGATTAGCGAGGTGGGGTGATATGGCCAGAATCAAACACATGCCCGGCCGCGTTAGTCTTCCCAATGCTGCTTTTAATGAAACGCACCCGTTACTAACTTTAGATTGAGTCGACCTACGGGAGACCGTGGTTAGGTTGGGATAACAAATTTCACTCGTTCGTAACCGCGCACACACACAAGAGACGCACGCACAGAGGTGCATGTGTGTCCTCTCTCCGTGACAAAGAAGATCGAGTATGCTGGGAATTATATACTGTACGTACTTAAAAAGTGACCACCACCCAAATGCTGTAGGCCTTTTGCGAAGCCTCGCTTCATGTTGAATACTCGCGTTTGAAGAGGTGACGACCATCTTCTTGGTTCTTTCGGTAAAGTCACGTAGAAGGGAAGTAATAAAATAATACAAATAAAACATAATAAAACAATTATTTTTATTATTTTATTACTTCCCTTCTACGTGACTTTACCGAAAGAACCAAGAAGATGAATCCCTGCAGTCACGAAAGAAGCTTTAAATCGAAAGGTGACGACCACTAAGAAGTTGCGGCGATAGCCTCGGTTCGATGCATATGCTGCTGGATGGATGCTCATATCGCCGGATCGTGCGAGGTGGTGACGGCTTCGGGATGATTTTCCCTAGCACTGGGTTTACCATGGCCGAGGATGATGGTGATACTGAATAAATAATGTAATACGTGTGAGTATGCGCATACTTTAAACATACGTACGACAATAATGTCAGACGTGTGAGTATGCGCATACTTTAAATATACGTACATCTCGTTACTATTTGATCATCCTACATACACGCGCAGTGCATATGCTATTACACTGACATAAACCTATACATATTACAAAGTAGCTACACGCTATATACAAAACTAGTGCTCGCTCGGAACTCGAGAAAACCAACGATTAACTTGTGTCTGCCTACCGGCCATTCCTGTGTGACTGGAATGGCGAATAATGCGCTTTTTAACATTCGGCATTCCTAGCGTGCGCGCCTTTGCAACGCGATGATGACTGAGAGAGGAGTTTTCAACTCAGGCGAACATTTCAAGCTCTATTCGTGACATTGTTGTTGGCGTATGTTCATTTTGTGTCCGATTTCATTTTGCGAAAACGCACGAATGTTTCCGTTACCACCGTCAGTCAATGGAGCAAATCGCCCCGGACGTTTATAAACGCGCAACTCCCGTGACGAGAGAAGTGTTTGGGCCGTTTCGTTAAAATGTGAATCTGTGGTAAGTTGCTGAAATACCTTCAACGATATTTTCCCTTAGTTTTGAAAGTAAATACATTTGAGATGAGGGAACATGTCACTTCATGAATATTATGGAACTCGTAACTGGACTTACACGTGTTAATTGACGTCAATACGAAGGAACAATACAAAAGGATTCCCTTTTACGCATTTACAAACGACGCGTGCATCTCTCTTTCATTCGGTTGTAAAAGTAACGTTACAATTTATCAACAAGAGCACGCGTGACGGCGGTGCTAATATTGGCCACGTGTGAGTGTTCACAAAGCAAGCACAATTATTGCACACGCCATCACGTGCCAAAATAAGAAAAAAAGAGTGCATTTCGTTGATGTTGATTGACTTGGGGGTAACACTGCTCTGGTACGTTACTCGCACACACTCGAAGAGAACGGGTATCTTTTTCTCTAAAACAAATAATTATATCTTACAAAAATGTAACAAACCAACAACAGCAACAACACCACCATCGTCAGCTCATCGTCGTGAGACCAGAGGTCCTCACCGAAATCAGAGGCGACTGTCTCCGCCACTACTCCGGCTCGTAGTATTCGCCAAAGCAGGGGGCTGGATTTTCCTTGAGGCAGCTTTTGGCGAATTCTCTACCGCCACCCGACAATGTAGCAGCGGAGGGAGGAGCAAGGACAGGGGAGTCGGTATCCCGCTTGTGCTGCCCGGAAATGCCCTCTTCGACCTCGGTCGAGAGACGCCGCTTCTTGGCGGACACGTCCTCCACCGCCGCCGCGCCGGCACCGCCGCTCTCGAACACCCCGGAGTCGCCGGACTCGGCGGACTTGCTGGAGGGGGGGCTCTCCAGGAGCTTGTCTGGCCGCACCTCCTCGGGCACCCCCACCACCCCACCGATCTGCTGCAGCTCCTGGAACATGGATGTGCTGCTACTGCATGCGTCCGCGGAAAATCCAGCAGTCGAAGGCTGCTGCTGCTGATGCTGCTGATGATGATGATGTGGATGATGAGGTTGATGATACTGTTGCTGGAGGTGGTGCGGCATTCGCCCCCAGGACTTGCTCCAGTCGCTGGCCGTGCCCAAGGCGCCGTGTTCAGCGGCCGCGTAATAGCTCAGCGAGCACGAGGGGCTGGGCGGCAGCGCCATCGGTTTGAAGCCATAGGATAGGAGGGAGCCGGCTCCCGCGCCGCCTCCCGCGCCGCTGCCTCCGCCGCCTCCGCCGCCCACGGCGCCGCCGATGGCCCCCATGTCGGGCTCGAAGGGAGACTGCGGCAGTGTTCCCATGAGCCAGCGCTCGGCGCGTTCGCTGTCGTTGAAGGCTGCGGCCAACTTCGAGCCGTAGGACGGGGAGCCGAATCGCTCGGAGAGGAGGGAGCCGCTGTCGTAACGCGGCCCGAACAGCGAGTGCGGGCGCAAGGGGTCGTGTGGTGACGGGGTGAGGCGGTCCAGGTCCACGCCCGGGTAGATGCTGCACGCAGCCAAGGGTCGGAGTTAGAGTTAGTAGGGTCAGGGCTATTCTGATGGCTACAGCTGGGCATTATTAGAGGATGGTCAAATCACACGGAATCCACCAGATCTTGGAAGGTAAAATGGATAGTATTTGGATGGGCTACCACTCTGCATAACATGTGTTAAATGGCTGCGGGGATACGTTGACAGCAGAGGGCACAGTTTGGTTTCAGAAAGGTTGCATGGGGGTCAGACTGGGTAAATGATATGCAGACATAACACCCAGGTATCTAAATTGGATTATTACAAAAAAAAACACATAAATAACGAGATTCTGGTTAGCAAATTGGTTAAAGGTAGAGCAAGGTTGAACACGATAAGAACTTCATACCGCCGTATATAAATTGGTTTAAACGTGTACGAACTTGAGATGATGTACATGCAGACTTGACACATTCTAACGTAAATTGAAACAAATACTGTGCTAATCAGAGGTGCGGGTTAGGTATATAGTTTTCACACACCCATAACTATACTAATTAGTAACTTATAACATGATTTCAGATTAGAACTGCACAAATGTCACCGCAAGGTAACTAAACTACTGTCTCAAACAACACGGACTTGGAGTTGGTGTTGCGGCTGAAACTCAACAAAATTCACTTTAGACCATGAGCCCAGTCCAGATATCTCACTTGTTAGTAGCCCAGAGGTTGCATAAACGTAGCGGTTCCAATTTCTCTAAAATTTTTGCATCCGTCTGGAACGCTCTTCTTTCCCATATTCGGAAGCCATTGGAGCTATGCACTTTTAAATCTCGATTGAAGACTCATTTCTTCAGAACTGCTTTAAGTGTTCAGTTTGTTGTCCTTCCCCGGCGCCTCCGATTATCACGGTTGGCTATGTATTGTGCGAAAGAAGTTCAACATACCACGGTGAATTATGTGATAAAACAATGGAATGAGTGGGGTTATTAAATAAATACAAAATTACGACTAGAGTTTTGCTACGTTAGCTGCTATATGAAGAAAGTTAACATCTTATAAAATAGACTAATACATGATAGAGAGATGACTTAAAAAAAAAATTCTAAAAATACTCACTGCTGAAATATGAGTCAAGATTTCTAAATTTAAAATGAATACATGTTGGTGCAGGCTATTTCAGAAAAAAATGCGATTATAAATATGGGAAGCTTATATAATATAGGAATATCTTAGAATGCTGTGTATTATATTTAAAAACTATACATTCATGTACTTACGCTATGCTGATTTTATTACACATGTTTACATGAGCGGTAGTTTTCAAACTTATATTGGGATTGTTTTGTCATTGCAAAATTATATCATATACAGGATACTAATTCTACTTATAAAATGATGGATGATACACGCTAATAAATGTGCTCATAGATTATAATAATTTAGACTTCCATTTATGTATGTTGAACTTCTTTCTCACCGTACGCAGCACAACCGTGCTAATCGGTTGGTGCGAAAACGTGCTGCACGATATTCGCTAACGAGAAGAGGAACAATGACTCGGAGGCACGAAGAACCACAGGCAAGCGAGAAGCCAGCAACCAGGCCGTCAGCCAGGGCCACCACTCTTCCAAGCTCTGCCGTCCTATATGTATTAAGATATGCTCAACCAATTAAGAGTGTTCATACATACGAAGGGAGCGCCGGGCAAACAACCCACACATTGGACAATAAGGGGCTTAATTAGTATGCGCGTATCTTGATTTAGCTCCCGTGGAAGTGACGACCTTCACGAATGCAGTCATAAGGAAAACAGCAGTGATGCAGGTGCTGCACGTTCATCACTTACGAATCATAATTGTCCCGGAAGCCTTTGGCAAAGGGGTTATGATCTATCTTCAGCTGTGTGATCTAGAAACACACATACACACACGCGTTTGCGCGCGCACACACACACGCGCGTTGGTAACGTTATGACTTATACACTAAATTAATTATATGTGCATGTAAATACGAGAGCATGGGGCGTGTTCATTTCCTTCCCAGTGTATGTTTATATTGCCTATATCCCACGTTTCAGTGCAAGTCATGTAAAAGGGAATGGTGCTTGCCGTGTGAATGCAGCGTGTGTGTATGTACTAATGCATGCACATGCACAGCGGCGTCAATCCACTGCTGGATGAGAGGTCTCTCCACGCAGTTGTGGGTTGGGTCGTGGGATTTATTTCACTTTACTTCGGTTCTCTTTTATGCCCTGCAAAGTGACCACAGAGCCTATAACAACCTGTTAGGCATGGTGGTAGCACATCCAAGCATTAACGAGGCTCGACTTGCTTAGCTTCTGAGGTCTGTCGACCGTGACTTCGTTTGGGCGCAAATCGGGTCCAACCAGAAGTGTGCAAATAATCATCAACCGTGGTCAATCCACTGCTGGAGAATAATTTACATTTATTTGTAAGGCGCCTTTCAATAATATCTCAAGGCGCCTTGTAAGAATAATGAAAGGCCAAGAGAGACAGAGAAGCTAAATAGAATAAACTGACTTAATAACACATTCCTGTGGAGGGAGCTGGTAGGAACGTTGGGTTGCTGAGTCAATGGCCAGGGTCAACTGCGGCGTGGTGTATTCCGGAAATTTGACCGACTGTGAGGGCGGACACAAGCCGGCGTGAGTAGGTTAAACGTTGGGTTTTATAAGAGCACCACGGTGTGACCAGCCCCTCCCCACCCAGCCCCACCCCTCCCTCCCACTCCCCACCCAGCACCACCCTCCCCACCCAGCCCCTCCCCACCCAGCCCCTCCCCACCCTCCCCTCTCCACCCAGCCCCACCCCTCCCATTTTTGGATTCACGACGGACGGACACAATAATCCCCATGTGGGCTGGTGGAACCAGGTGGTTCCTACCAGTATGAGTTATAAGACGAGACTTAAAAGTATCCACATTATCGGAAAAACGATTTTCCACCGGTAGAGAATTCCACAACCGTGGTGCGGACACAGCAAATCCCAGGAACGCAGCTGGGATCGAGGTACGCACAGAAGGGCGGAGTCTGCAGATCTTAACGACCTTGAGGGGGTGCACGGATAAATTAACTTATGAATATATGGTGGTAGTGCCAGCCCATGCGAGGCTTTAAAAACAAGTAGAAGGCAGTTCAACTCTACTCGTTTCAACGACGGTAGCCAGTGCAATGATAAGAGAACCGGGGAAATGTGATCACGTAATGGGGTTTGGGTGAGCACCCTAACTGCCGTATTCTGAACAATATGTAGTCTACCAAGGACCTTATTTGAAACACCAACCAGCAAGGCATTGCAGTCATCGATTCGCGAGAGAAAAAGTGCATGTGCAGTGCCATCGGGGATGTCACTGTGCCGGCCCAGAAGGGTGGTGCCGTTCGATGTTCCTACATCGTGGACAGCGCCGTGTGGGTGGCTGTGTGTGACACCAGCCCTAGCGGGGACAGCGCCGTGTGGGTGGCTGTGTGTGACACCAGCCCTAGCGTGGACAGCGCCGTGTGGGTGGCTGTGTGTGACACCAGCCCTAGCGGGGACAGCGCCGTGTGGGTGGCTGTGTGTGACACCAGCCCTAGCGTGGACAGCGCCGTGTGGGTGGCTGTGTGTGACACCAGCCCTAGCGTGGACAGCGCCGTGTGGGTGGCTGTGTGTAACACCAGCCCTAGTGGGGACAGCGCCGTGTGGGTGGCTGTGTGTGACACCAGCCCTAGCGGGGACAGCGCAGTGTGGGTGGCTGTGTGTGACACCAGCCCTAGCGTGGACAGCGCCGTGTGGGTGGCTGTGTGTGACACCAGCCCTAGCGTGGACAGCGCCGTGTGGGTGGCTGTGTGTAACACCAGCCCTAGTGGGGACAGCGCCGTGTGGGTGGCTGTGTGTGGCACCAGCCCTAGCGTGGACAGCGCCGTGTGGGTGGCTGTGTGTGACACCAGCCCTAGCGTGGACAGCGCCGTGTGGGTGGCTGTGTGTGACACCAGCCCTAGTGGGGACAGCGCCGTGTGGGTGGCTGTGTGTGACACCAGCCCTAGTGGGGACAGCGCCGTGTGGGTGGCTGTGTGTGACACCAGCCCTAGCGGGGACAGCGCCGTGTGGGTGGCTGTGTGTGACACCAGCCCTAGCGTGGACAGCGCCGTGTGGGTGGCTGTGTGTGACACCAGCTCTAGCATGGACAGCGCCGTGTGGGTGGCTGTGTGTGACACCAGCCCTAGCGTGGACAGCGCCGTGTGGGTGGCTGTGTGTGACACCAGCCCTAGCGTGGACAGCGCCGTGTGGGTGGCTGTGTGTGACACCAGCCCTAGTGGGGACAGCGCCGTGTGGGTGGCTGTGTGTGACACAGCCCTAGCGTGGACAGCGCCGTGTGGGTGGCTGTGTGTGACACCAGCCCTAGTGGGGACAGCGCCGTGTGGGTGGCTGTGTGTGACACCAGCCCTAGCGTGGACAGCGCCGTGTGGGTGGCTGTGTGTGACACCAGCCCTAGCGTGGACAGCGTCGTGTGGGTGGCTGTGTGTGACACCAGCCCTAGTGGGGACAGCGCCGTGTGGGTGGCTGTGTGTGACAAAGCCCTAGCGTGGACAGCACCGTGTGGGTGGCTGTGTGTGACACCAGCCCTAGTGGGGACAGCGCCGTGTGGGTGGCTGTGTGTGACACAGCCCTAGCGTGGACAGCACCGTGTGGGTGGCTGTGTGTGACACCAGCCCTAGTGGGGACAGCGCCGTGTGGGTGGCTGTGTGACACCAGCCCTAGTGGGGACAGCGCCGTGTGGGTGGCTGTGTGTGACACCAGCCCTAGTGGGGACAGCGCCGTGTGGGTGGCTGTGTGTGACACCAGCCCTAGCGTGGACAGCGCCGTGTGGGTGGCTGTGTGTGACACAGCCCTAGCGTGGACAGCACCGTGTGGGTGGCTGTGTGTGACACCAGCCCTAGCGTGGACAGCGCCGTGTGGGTGGCTGTGTGTAACACAGCCCTAGCGTGGACAGCACCGTGTGGGTGGCTGTGTGTGACACCAGCCCTAGCGTGGACAGCGCCGTGTGGGTGGCTGTGTGTGACACCAGCCCTAGTGGGGACAGCGCCGTGTGGGTGGCTGTGTGTGGACACCAGCCCTAGCGTGGACAGCGCCGTGTGGGTGGCTGTGTGTGACACCAGCCCTAGCGTGGACAGCGCCGTGTGGGTGGCTGTGTGTGACACCAGCCCTAGTGGGGACAGCGCCGTGTGGGTGGCTGTGTGTGACACCAGCCCTAGCGGGGACAGCGCCGTGTGGGTGGCTGTGTGTGACACCAGCCCTAGCGTGGACAGCGCCGTGTGGGTGGCTGTGTGTGACACCAGCCCTAGTGGGACAGCGCCGTGTGGGTGGCTGTGTGTGACACCAGCCCTAGCGTGGACAGCGCCGTGTGGGTGGCTGTGTGTGACACCAGCCCTACGTGGGACAGCGCCGTGTGGGGTGGATGTGTGGACACCAGCCCTAGCGTGGACAGCGCCGTGTGGGTGGCTGTGTGTGACACCAGCCCTAGTAGGGACAGCGCCGTGTGGGTGGCTGTGTGTGACACCAGCCCTAGTGGGGACAGCGCCGTGTGGGGTGGCTGTGTGTGACACCAGCCCAGAGTGGGACAGCGCCGTGTGGGTGGCTGTGTGTGCACCAGCCCTAGCGTGGACAGCGCCGTGTGGGTGGCTGTGTGTAACACAGCCCTAGCGTGGACAGCACCGTGTGGGTGGCTGTGTGTGACACCAGCCCTAGCGTGGACAGCGCCGTGTGGGTGGCTGTGTGTGACACCAGCCCTAGTGGGGACAGCACCGTGTGGGTGGCTGTGTGTGACACCAGCCCTAGCGTGGACAGCGCCGTGTGGGTGGCTTGTGTGACCCAGCCCTAGCGTGGACAGCGCCGTGTGGGTGGCTGTGTGTAACACAGCCCTAGCGTGGACAGCACCGTGTGGGTGGCTGTGTGTGACACCAGCCCTAGCGTGGACAGCGCCGTGTGGGTGGCTGTGTGTGACACCAGCCCTAGCGTGGACAGCGCCGTGTGGGTGGCTGTGTGTGACACCAGCCCTAGCGTGGACAGCGCCGTGTGGGTGGCTGTGTGTGACACCAGCCCTAGCGTGGACAGCGCCGTGTGGGTGGCTATGTGTGACACCAGCCCTAGTGGGGACAGCGCCGTGTGGGTGGCTGTGTGTGACACCAGCCCTAGCGTGGACAGCGCCGTGTGGGTGGCTGTGTGTGACACCAGCCCTAGCGTGGACAGCGCCGTGTGGGTGGCTGTGTGTGACACCAGCCCTAGCGTGGACAGCGCCGTGTGGGTGGCTGTGTGTGACACCAGCCCTAGCGTGGACAGCGCCGTGTGGGTGGCTGTGTGTGACACCAGCCCTAGCGTGGACAGCGCCGTGTGGGTGGCTGTGTGTGACACCAGCCTAGCTGGGACAGCACCGTGTGGGTGGCTGTGTGTGACACCAGCCCTAGTGGGACAGCGCCGTGTGGGTGGCTGTGTGTGACACCAGCCCTAGCGTGGACAGCGCCGTGTGGGTGGCTGTGTGTGACACCAGCCCTAGCGTGGACAGCGCCGTGTGGGTGGCTGTGTGTGACACCAGCCCTAGCGTGGACAGCGCCGTGTGGGTGGCTGTGTGTGACACCAGCCCTAGCGTGGACAGCGCCGTGTGGGTGGCTGTGTGTGACACCAGCCCTAGCGTGGACAGCGCCGTGTGGGTGGCTATGTGTGACACCAGCCCTAGCGGGGACAGCGCCGTGTGGGTGGCTGTGTGTGACACCAGCCCTAGCGTGGACAGCGCCGTGTGGGTGGCTGTGTGTGACACCAGCCCTAGCGTGGACAGCGCCGTGTGGGTGGCTGTGTGTGACACCAGCCCTAGCGTGGACAGCAGCCGTGTGGGTGGCTGTGTGTGACACCAGCCCT